TAGCAATAATCGCTGCTAAAGTTTCAATTGCTAATTCGATACTGTTCCCACTCGTAGAATAATTTTGAAAAAATACCATTAGATTGCTTGAATTTTAACCTGTAAAATAAGCTTATCGAAATAATAGAGAAATTTTGGGAACATGGGATAAAAAAATAAAGTTTACCATAATGCACGTCGTTTGGCGTCGCGCAGGCATCTGTTCGCCTGTTTATGGTGTCTGCGCGACGTAAACTGTCTTTTTTTTTCAAGCGCTTGAAGATATCATTCCGGTCAATTATCGACTGCTCATCTGCTTACCGACTGCTCGAACGAAACCCGATGGTCATCTATTGTTTATAGAAGAGTAAGAGCGATAGCCTTATTCTATTCCTATTGGCTGACTATAAGGGAAGACCTAAGAGTAACTGCGACTTTTAAGCCCTGTGTGATGTCAGAGGTTTCACTTTAGGTTTGCCAGGCCCAGGACGAAATGCCTTAACCTTTCCTTTTCCGTCTATCCTCCACCAATTTTCTAAAGAACTTCAAGCTGATAAGAGTCGCCCATCATACCATGCCCACAATATGAATACCAATAGACACTCTCTGCATTGGTCTTTCTCGACCTCCAGAAAGCATTTGACTTAGTCTGGCACAAACGGCTTGATTTACAAACTCGTCCAAACCAAATTCCATCCATACCTAATCAAATTAGTTCACTGGCACCTACACAACCGATACTTCTTTGTTCAGATAGTCAATGAAAAATTGAACCTCGTACTAATAAAATCCGGCGTACCGCAGGGCATTAATGACGTACTACCTATGTCAGATGACACTTCCCTCGCTCCCTATGGCGACGACACGGCGGTATTTGCCTCTTCGTGACAGATGAGTCACCTTATCCCCAAACTCCAGAACCACTTAAATCTATTAAGCTCCTGGAAGCTCACGCTTAATTCAGACAAAACCAAAGCAATTATCTTCACCAGAAAGCGCAGGTTTAACTCCTGCTAAAGTCTCCCCCTTCTCTAGTTGAACGGCTCTAGCATTTCATGGAGCGACAAAATCACGTATAGTCGGGGCCCACGATACAGCGAGGTCGTAAATTTTAAACTCTCAAGAATCTGCACCGATTGACGTAAGGCCGTGCGTTGGAGTCTGTTTGAGGTTTCCAACGATAAATGAATGGTAGCATATGATTTGGTATTGCAAGTAGAAAATGGTGTTTCATTTACAAATGGAAAATATGTTAATATTACTTATTATTTGAAATATTTGTAATTTCTTTCTGTGTTCGCAGCTACACAACCTTTTTGCACTTTCTATCTGTATATAACACGAGTAGGTAAATTAAGATGTTAAAGACCTCGATAAGACCTTTACCTGTAACCGTACTTCCAAAAGCAGCTTGCCCCAGAGGGAGAAACCCTAATTTGTCCTAGTTGCACGCAGCTTTCAGTAAATATATTAGAATCAGTTTGACTTTTGCTGGATACAACAATTCTTCGTACGGTCCTGGCCACGGTTTCAAGTACTCATCTACTCGTATTTTTGTCAATTTTCATGTCCCGGCAGCTAAAACATGTTTACTTTGACGCCAGACCGGTTTTACGACCTCGCTATGTATATCGTGGCCCCGACTATACCTTGGCGTCGTACTCGATCGAAAACTGACGTCTGTAACGTCCAAACACCCCTACTAAGAGATAAGGATGACGCATCAGTGAGACATCCGTACCTTGGATCATTATTCAAAACCGACTAGATAGAAACCCTCAAAAACATATGACTGTACAACAACCCCACTACCTCACCGCCTCACTATCACATTATAAAAACAACTGAAACTAAGAATAAAGATCAGAATTGCTGTCATCGTGAACGTGTTCGCACCTTTATTTTCCATTCCAAGCGCTGATTCTCCGAAAACGACCGAGTATTCACGGACCTCGTTCGCCAGGCGCTCATTCGTTACGTTTCACCGTAACACGTGGGGCCCTGCCGTGGCGGATAGGCGTGACTAGGCATTCAAAGCAGTTCAGGCTTCCAAAATTCTTATCGGGAATGTGAACACAATTTCAAAAAACAGAACACAGTGTAGGCTATTAACCAAATGTATTATTTTTAGAATATAAGCGGTGGTTAAGTTGCTCGGGTGTCCATCTCGCTCGACGGCTATAATAAAAAAGTGCCCTCTCCGCGTCCCATCCTGCGTTGCTCCGAAAAACCGTTAGAGCCTCCTAGTTCGACTATCCGGGGAAAGAGCTTAGTTTATGGCACCCTCAGGTACCCGCGCGCTTTCTCTTCCAGTGACTCTGAAAGTTCAGGCCACCACTTCGTCGCCTAAATCTCGCATTCCTTACAGGAATTCATCCAAACTCCCACTGCATTTAAAGATTCAGATTCATACCGCCTGTATCCGCCCAGTAATGTTATATGGAACACAGGTCTGGTCAGTGGCTGCAAAAACGCACATAACATCCCTCTAGCGACTTAAAAATAAGGCCTTCAAAATAATATTAAATTTGCAAATGGATTATTCCACCAGAGACATGCATACCAGGACCAGGGTCACATATACATATTTATGAATTAACCCCTTAACATATGATTTCTTTTCTCACTATGCATCTAAGCGTCAGCCATTTAATGTTTTAGTACTGTATCAGGTAACAAAAGTTAATCTGTTACAGATTAATTATAGTTAGTAATCCTCAGTTTTACAAATTAAAACGAAAGTTAGAATTGCAATTGATTTTTCTTACTAATAGAATTATTTTTGTCATATCTTGACAAAAATGTCCGACATGTTGTTATAGGTTAAGGGGTTAAACAAACATCTCATTGCAGGATACTCAGTGGTTACCGCCACATTCAAATCTCACCTTCTACATTATTGAACCCAAGCCACGATTCCCGCTGGACCTCGCCAAGGACAGGGCTGCTTGAGCATGATTTTGGATTTTGGTCTTGATCTTGGATTTATTTTTTCCCCCCTCTATTCTCTCTTCACACCTGTATGCTCTTATTCTCTTCTATGCTACGCATACTCACGCTGAATTCAATTTATATAGTGTAATGTGCATTATTTTAAAAGAAATAGAAAAATTTTTGAAAGATATTTACCGACGTGTTTAATACGTTCGTTGCTACCGTCGCAGCGTATGCGGTTTAGAATGTATTGCCTAGCGTGCTATCGATTCTCTGCGGGCAGCGAACGTTTTAAACGTGACAATTAATTTTTTGTAGAGACAGTACCTAATATGGAACACCGCAATATCTCGGCAAATATATAGCAAAATTAATCGGCAATAGTGTAAGATATTTCATTAAAAACAAAAGACAGTCATATTCACATTGAAAACGTGTAAAAGTTTTTGAGAGACGAGTTAAATAGTGAAATTTTTTAGCGACGATAAGGTAGAAAAATATTACTTTTGTATGATTTATCAATAAACCTGTTTTGAGACTTCAAAAGAAATTCACCGTTAAACTTTTCTTCTTCTTAGTACAATTATCATTTTCCTGTCGAAATACGTACGTACTTACCCCCAATATGGAACCCGTTGAGTGTACGTAATTATACGTATTATATTATATTTTTACCATTACAAGTACATTATATTATTGTACTACAATATATTACATAGTTTTATGCTATTATTATTATTGTTTATATAATAGATGGAAGTTGTAGCAGCAAAAATTAAAAGAAAATCTTAGGACAAGGTTCCAAAAAAATGGAAGATATTTGTTTTTTTTATTTATATAAATATTCATTTTTCATAGTAAACATAAAGTTTTTTGAGATTTCTTGACAGATTTTCTAGGTGTTCCATATTAGGTACCATTTTTTCAACTCGTCGCGTTTGATTTTTTTTACATTTTTTACCATGACTTCAAGATACATAAACTTTTGCATAGTTTACTATGAACATACGAATATCTATTAATTTTGTCGTGTTTTAACGTTAGTTTCATTAAAAAAAAAGAGCATGTCTCTATGTTTGACAAGCTTTTAAAATTAGGTGTTCCACATTAGGTGCAGTTACCCTATTAGTGCACTTTAAGACTACTTTTTGGCTACTAATTGAAACGGTATTCTTTTCGTTCCACTTTTTCACAATTGTCGGAGAGGTAACATTTCCGCCGGAAGTGTCTTCTAATTGTCATGTTTCCATTCCCAAATTCAATCTTAAACTACGAAGTTATCAAAGGTACATAGCAAGATAAACAGAAACTAACTTTCATTTCAATCAATGTTATCGAAAATAATTTCAAAGGAAAAAGTATATTTAAGTACCTACTCTTGTGTCGGAAATAAAATTTTCGATAATTAGAATGTTCTTTAAATATGAGATTCTTTTATTTCGATTTTCGACAATTATTCTAACATAAATTTGTACAACTGCGTTAATCGTTCAGTAATTAGCGAGTTCGAGAATCTATGGGA